GGAACAATTAAACTGTTTGGGTGATAATACCAAATACTAAACTGGTTTGTTCTTTGGTGTTAAAATGAGTTCCATTCCAGTGTTTCAGTTCGTGGTTCCGGCAGACAAAAGTTAATGATCTAATAGTTTGGTTTCGAGTATGTTTAGAGTGAATCCTTTTTTCGAAATGCGTGCAAATCGAAAATCAACAGTACCTTCTAGAGATGAAAGATGATGTCGTGGTGGAGTCTGTTTGGAGTTCTAACATTATGTCGAAAAAAGTAGGTAACTGCCAATTAAGATAAGATAGATTCCGAGGATAGTGCCTTTATATTGAAAAAAGCCCGCTTAAATTCACTACTGTTTAATGATGAATATAGAAGAGAATGAGAGCGTCACGGTATCACCATCGTTTGTCCTTTATGTTACCTCACTCTACTTATAATAGAAAATCGACAATCTAGTCGTACAACAAATGACATCCACGATAAAGAATGGCTTTGTACACGCCACTGTCTCTAAGTCCAAAGATGTAAACTACAGCCCGATCTATGGTTACCAAGATCTGTTCGTTACAACATTAGAAGAAACTATAAAAAACGTCACTTCGTCCGTTCCTGACATAGAAGTCTATGCTAATCAAGCTAAAAGAGAATGCTACAAAGGAAATACTGAACTGACAATAGACGAATCGGCAGCAATTTATCTTTACACAATGCCAACATCTTTCCATTCCATTCTCAACAACAAGTTCCAAACTGAAAATCGAGATGAGCTGGAACCGTGGTTTGCATTCTTGAAACTGTTTATCATTGCTCTTAGAAAATTACCATCACTTGTGACTACGGTGTGGCGAGGCGTTGCTAGTGATATTAGTCACGATTTCTTTGAGAGTCTTGAGCAAACATGGTGGAATGTGAATTCCTGTTCGAAAGATCTCAACATCATTCAGTATTACGTAAGCGTGAGCGATGGGAAAGGAACAGCGTTTGCCATCGAAACCATGTATGGCAAAGATATTTCCAAGTACTCAATATTTCCAGAAGAGCAAGAAGTCATTCTCATGCCTGGAACTCGTGTAAGTCTCAAGAGCCAACCACTCAAAATCAAAAATCTTATCATTGCTTGTTTTGAAGAATTGTAAGTTCATGTAAAAGGATGTGGGTGTGTGTGGGGTTTGAGTGTAGATGTGGGCGGGGTGTGGGTGTGGATATAGGGTGTGGGTATGAGGTGTGGGTATGGGTATGGGGTGTGGGTGTGGGTGTGGGTGTGAGTTTGGGTGGACGTAGGTGTGAGCGTAGATCATCTCATCACATCCACACTCACACCCATCGACACCCACATCCCACACACCCACATCCACTCACACACCCACCCAAACACCCACACCCATCAACATCCGCATCCCACACCCATCGACATCCACATCCCGCACCCACATTGTGGGTGTCAGGGTTCCCGTACTTTGGAGTTCCGTTCTTAAGGAACGAGAACCTGCTTGATTATTGATTTCTATGCATTTTTGAACGCGCTGGAGCTCATAGACATACTTTTTCTTTCGTTTTGAGCAAGTTACTTTGGGTTCCCGGGTTCCTGGGAACGGGAACCCGGGAACCCAGTTGAAAATTTATTTCCGTGCATTTTTGAGCACACTAGAGTTCATAGACATGCTTTTTCTTTCGTTTTGAGACAATTTCCCCCTGGTTCCCGGCTTCCCAAGAACGAGAACCCGCACTGGGTTCCGGGTTCTCAGGAACGAGAACCCGCATCGGGTTCTTAAGAACGAGGAACCCTGTTGCAAATGGTTCAGAATAGAAATTTAGATAGGGTTCCCAGTTTTTGGGAACCCGAAGCCCGGTGCGGGTTCTCGTTGCTGGGAACCCGGAAACTCGGAGAGACTTGTCTCAAAACGAAAGAAAATGTATGTCTACGAACTCTAGTGTGCTCAAAAATGCACAGAAATGAATTTTTAACCGGGTTCCCGTTCCTAGAAACCCAAAACTTGGTACGGATTCCCGTTCCCAGGAACCCGGGAACCCGCAGTGACTCGTCTCAAAACAAAAGAAAAAGTATGTATAAGCACTCCAGTGTGTTCAAAAATGCGCAGAAATGAATAACCAAGTTGGGTGTGGGTGTGGATGTGGGTGTGGGTGTGGGTGTGGGTGTGAGTGTGGATGTGGGTGTGGGTGTGGGTGTGGATGTAGGTGTGGGTGTGGGTGTGGATGTGGGTGTGGGTGTGGGTGTGGGTGTGGATGTGGGTGTGGGTGTGGATGTGGATGTGGGTTTGGATGTGACCTTTGAAAAAGTCCACAGCTACACCCACATCAACACCCACACCCACATCCACACCCACATCCACACCCACACCTTTCTAGCGTTGTGATGGATGAGTATTTTTGAGAACTTATGCTATTTCAGGAAATCCAAACGGTTTCGGAACGAGAGCACAGACGGCAAGTACCTCATAGTGAGCCAAGGAGATAAGTCAAATGATCGTTGGTCTTCGATTGGTAAGAAAATAAATAAGAAGTTATTAGAATATTGAACGATTATTTATGGATATTTTAAATACTAAGAATAATCTAGAAAGAAATTTTTTTACATATAACTTTTGTTGAACTCAAATAGAGTGCATCGACTACATTAGAAATGTTTTAGGTGAAATTAAGGAAGAATTATATTGATAAAAACAGAAATAAAACTTATGACAGTATTATTTGTTAAATACACCATGATAGAAGTCAATGAATCCAAAAACAACACGGTTAATTCAGCGAACATCCGTTTATGAACGTTATCTGTCGCAATGTGAAAAATGCTACTTAAGCTGCCATTTGAAGGCATCGATCTGAGCTATTAGATGAGTCCACAGAATTAAAGTTACTCACTCATCATCAATATTTCGAACAGTTGGAACATAGTGCTTCAAGGAATCGATCTCCAAGTTGATACTTGCGATGGACCTATCCCCGATGTATTCAATATGCGATTTTTCGCAGAGCTACAGGTGATAGATATTCATTTCTGACCTTTGCCGCCCATCGATTGTTTGTCTAGAACAAAAGATTCGAACACGTGCACTTATAGTTGCATACCTTGTATAGATCAGATGAACTAAACATAATATTTTAGTTTTAGGCAAGTCTACGTTTCTTTATGGAACATATATAACTTAAAAATCTTTTACTAACTAGCTTTTAACGTATAATTTAAAACAATTTTTTAAATAATTTTTGAATACATTACTATTGTGGATATTAACAATGAATAACTGTCTTTTATGGATTTCGTTGTATTAAGTAGAAAAGTTATGCGTAAGGAAAAACGATACTCTAATTTATGAGTTTATAAAATAAGTTATGAGAAAAATATTGAAATTGAAATAAGAATAAATTTAGATTGGCTAATTTCTTTAAGGTTACGATATTTAATTATCCCAATGGTTTTAAGGACTAAAAAGTAAACCGGGTAGTTCGAAATCATACTATCTATTAGTTCTTTACTGTCAAGTGTTCGAAACTAAGTATAATTTCAAAAGTTCAAAATTTTTCAAGAGTTCGATAATTATACTTAACAAAAAATATCGTTTTAGAGTCGACACAAAGTAAAATACAAGAGACAAACACAAACTCTGATGTTCAATCAAACTCAAAAGTTTTTTTTTTTTTTTTTATGAATATTTCATTCCATTTTCCAGAAATGTATTATAGTATTATGAAAGACAGGTTGGTTTTGACGCAAGAAACAAAGATGCTATCGGTTCAAGATATTGCTGTTCAATATGCTCTCTAATTTTACGAGATCCTGTACAGCTTGCCTGTGGGCATCGGCAATGTAAATCATGCGTTGAGTCCATAGAAGGGTAACGATTTGAGTTTTCATTGATTTCACTTTGAAAAATTCATCTTTATATTTTCAAGGAAAATAGTAAAGTGTTCAGAATGTCAAGAAGAGACGCCGAAGAATGCGGTCAGGATGTGAAATTTGTTTCTATTCAATCGATATCTTTTATTCTTTTAGGTGTTGCTTGACAGAGGTTTCAAGAGAGATATGCAGACACTAATTATAGATTGTTCGTTATGTGATTGGAATGGTTCGTTGAAAGACTATGAGGTATGAGGACTGACTGTGCAAACATAATTGAGAATTGAAGTTTATCCTGTAGATAGATTAAGACAATCAAGACATTAGATGAAAATACACTTACTTTTTTATGCAAGACACCGAAAAATGTTGCTCTCCTTCAAACACCCCAGTAATTTTATATTATTCTCTTTTCAAAATATTTTTTCAATTCAGTAGGACATCAAGGTTTCAGCTATAGAACTGATTATCCCTTTCCAGTTAATTAGATTCTAGAGTACGGATCAAGGGATTGATGTCCGATAGAATGTAGTCTGACGGTTTCATATTCTTGGCATATAAAAGTTTTGCCCACTAATCTCGATTTATAATATTTGTGTCACTTTTATATTAAACAGTACCCAGGCTCGCTCATGAACCTCGATGCGGCGCACGTTGCTCTAGAACAACCGAATTTGAATTGTGTCACACGCACAAAACGCGCACTTCACCGCATAAGATGATCTGGGTACGAAAAGTGCTTTTATGAATATCAGAGCAGCTATGTAAGATGGATGATTGACTTGTTGAAACATAGTTAACAATCGAATGATGAGATATTTTCATCACGTATAATAGCTTTTCCGAAGATGCACAACCATCATTTCATATACATAACCGAGATCTGGCGTTTGTAAATAGACAACAGTAATTACTCTAAAAATTTGCAACAATTTCCCTAGCATTCTACTAGACATCTATAGTTTCGTAACGACGTATAATTTTTGTTTAAGAATCATCTTTCGCAAATTCATCAAAACCCAACATGTGACTATTGTGGTAAAAAGTTCAATTCGACGAACAGTCTTGATTTACACAAACTTAAAGAATGTGATAAAATTATCGTGTCTTGTGCGTTCAGAGATTTTGGTTGTTGCAATTCAGTAGTGCGCGTTCAGATGTCAGATCATTATATGACTGAACAGCATCAAAATGCAATAATCGCTGTTATACGTTGTTTAATGTTTAAATCATCGAGTGATCATCATGATAAAAGCTCTGAGATAGAGATTGATATCTCTTCTCTTTCCACTACGACTATGATTTCACCTGTCAATGATAATATAGACATTCAATTACAAGAAGTATGTGAAACAATTGATATTCTTGCTGGTGGAATTCAAACATTGAATGATGATGCACAACGTCTTAGCCATGAATCAGTGAAAATACAAAATGCTATCGATGGTTTAACTCAAGAATTTGCAGTACTCAAATTAAGTATTCAAGAACAAAATGTTTTCTTAGATGGACTTAAACCTAACCAAGAAATTCTTCAACAAGATGTTTCATCATTAAAACAAAAAGTAGAGGATATGCAATTTGTTTCATATGACGGGACATTAATATGGAAAATAGCAAATTTCAAAGAAAAGATGAGTAAGATCGATATTGATTTACAATTTCGTTCATATAAAGAATACAATTATCAAAGTTTAACGAGCACGCTTCTAAATAAAAGTCTTCATTGCTTTTTTTCATTCTATATTTCAACAATATGCACTTTATTATATCAACATAGATCTATTTTTATAATCTGCTGCATGTTATTTTCGTCAAAAAACCTCAAAATTATACTTTATATCCATATAATTAATTTAAAGTATTTATTTTTTTTTAGTGGATGCGCAATCGGAACGGCAAACTTCGATCTATTCGCCTCCATTTTATTCATCACCAACTGGTTATAAGATGAGAGCACGTCTGTATTTGTATGGAGATGGGAATGCACGTCGGACACATATGTCACTCTTTTTCGTGCTCATGCGAACTGAATACGACTCCATTTTGAAGTTTCCATTCAATTTCAAGGTCACATTTTGTTTGTATGATCAAACTCCAGCCCAAAGGCATATCATTGACTCCTTTCGGCCAGATATTAAATCGAGTAGTTTTCAGCGACCACGATCAGAAATGAATATTGCAAGTGGAATACCTAAATTTTTTCCACTGACAATGATTGAACAAGATGGCAATCCATATGTTCGAGATGACACTATGTTCATCAAGATCATGGTCGATTTCGGTGATATGCCCAAAACTCTATTACCATATGCATTGGGTCTGAATCCCGGATTGCCAATAAATATTCAGCAGGCAATGATCAAGCGAGAAGCAGAACGACGCGCTCAACAAGCTGCTACCGTACCAAATTTATGACCACAGCATACTGAGTAGCACGATTGATCTTCTTTCATTAGTATGAGATCGGAAAGGACCGTTGCCAATGAGTTCCAGATCATACGTTAATAAAATTATTTCCCTATATTAAAATAAAGTATTTTCAAAAAAATATGATCAATTGTTTTTTTTGAATTGATTAGCGGCAGCTCTATATTCATGAAATTATTTTTGTCTAAAACACAACTTTTACCGAGAGTATCAAAAGTTTTGCAATATTTTTTGTTTTGCATATATCTCGGTGTAGATAAAATCTTGAATTTTTTCAAAAGATGCGCCATGAAAATCTCTACACAAAGTGTAGGAATAAATCCCTATTGAAAAATGAAAAAGCCTTCCGACCATTTTTTTATTATGCTAAAAACGATGGGACACAGCACCGTGATGTAGTTTTTCCATTTTGAGTGTGGAAAAACCATTAACACAAGTCAATCCGGGTGTCTTGTTATCATTCTTGTAGACCTTTTCAAGACGCATCTTTTGAAAAAAAAATTCAAGATTTTATCATTTACCTACGTCGAGATATATGCGAAATAAAAGATGTCACAAAACTTTTGGTATAGCCGATGTTTAAACGCTGTTTCATACATAAAAAAAGATAACTCACGGGTGCGGCAGAAGAAATTGCCGACTTTTGATAGACTGTTCTCTCAAGTTAGATTGGATGAGAAAGTTTCATTCTAATGTCAAAAGATAGAGAATTTTGTGTCGATTTTATTGATATGTTCTTTACAAAATGAACATTTGCTCTTCTTTTGTGATATTAAAGATACTGGATACTACAAAAACATTATTTGCTCAAACGTAAAACGAGACATTTTTTAACTCAAATTTTGGCCCAGTTAATTATAGTTCAAAAATTTTTCTTGTTGCTAAGCGCGATTCAGAATTTTTCGGCGTATCTGATGATGTCCTGATTTTTTTAAGCTTAATTGCTTCTGCTGCAAAAAACACAAAACATCAAGAAAATGTCCTCCGCCAGCAGAATCATACTTTTAGTTGCCTATTTCCCAAAACTGGGTTTTACAAAAACTATTCTTTTTATATCAACAGATGTAGAATTTCAAGCTCTACAAGATGGTCTTCATTATAAAGGCTGAATTTCTTTTCTAAACTAGTTATGTGATTGAGATCTTTTGTCTGACATAAAAAGACACCAAAAATGGACCGTTAGATATTTTTTGCAAGTGGTTTTTTGGATGACGAAATTTTATCCGCAGATTTGGTATTGGGTCTGAAAAACAGATATGCCTCTGTGGTGTATAATACTGCATATAAAACCATTTAACAAAGAAAACTAACACTTTATTGTCGTAAAATGCCGAGCAAATTATGTTTTTTTGTGGTATTCAGTACCTTTAATATTGTAAGAAAAGGACAAATGCTCATTTCGCAACCAATATATCAATAAAATCTACACAAAATTCTCTATCTTTTGACAGCAGAAGGAAATTTTCTCATCAAGTCTAATTTGAGAAAATGGCCTATCAAAAGCAGAGAATTTATTCTGCCACACTCATTATGTTGTTTTTAATGTTTTTTAAAAAAATCTATGACTCAATTGGTAGCAATTAAAAAAAAGAGTCTAACACTCGATCGAGCAATCCCATACTCTCGAAAACTGTGACTCCTTAGTTTTTTCATGCTCAATTGATGACCCATAAAACGTTAGACTATTGGTAAAAATTGTATATTTTTTCATTGAAATTGCAAGAACCTACAGCGATACTTATGTTAAGATCTTCCATTCATCGGACCTGAAATCGAAAAATCATCGACGATACGATAGTGTATCTATATCCTCGTTATCTCACGTGTAGACATTGTTTTAGATACAATCAATCAGAACTCTATTTCAATAGCATTCGAATTGAAGTGACATGGGAATTTGGATGGAACAATTATACCTCCCATAATCTTTGTTCAAGATTATCTATCTAGTTTTTGGAAATTTGACATTGATTTTCAACTCTAAAACATCTTCTGTCTAGGATCGTTGCTTAAGTGTGATAATAGAGGGTTTTGCTGTTGCCAGTTTTGTTGGAATTGTGTTCGATCGTACAAATTCATCTGTAAGATACATTTATATTTTTCTTGAAAATTCATTATTTCTGACTACTATGAACACTCATATATGCACAGAGAACATATAAAAATATCTCCATCCTATGTTTATGCATTTCTTCACGTCTACAATCAATCATCTTCATCATTCATCATGTTTGTTTTTGTGCGTATTTATAGATCGTTTCAAATTTGGTCAATGCTCTTGAATGATATTGGCGAAACACTTTGATCGGTCCATCGGCTGACACCATCACACCTAATGCTTTTGCTCCCATTTCTGCAATGTTTCGATGAATTCCATTAAGTAATAACATATCTTCGTTGACAATTTTGTTATTAAGTCTTTCTGAGAAATAATCATAGCCAGGAATATATTCGATCCATTTGTAATTAGCAAAATTACTATAGAATTGCATCATGAGACGCATCTTCTGTTGAGCACTTGGTAAAACAATAAAGATTTGAACGAAAAGACGCCCCGCTTTGTGGCCATAATGATCCAAACGAACAAAACAAGGTGGAATAAAATGCACGTGACTCAATGCAGTCGATGAAAGTGGTAATGGTCGTTCATATCGTTCGACTTTGAATGATACTGATTCAATATTCAATAAATTATATGGACTAGGTGTAAGAGCTTCGGATCGAATGCATGATGCTTGTGAACGATTACCAATTGTTCCATCGTGTATAAAATCGACATGAGCTATATCGAGTGCATTGTCGATCATGAGTTCATAGGGAATGTTAAGATAACACGAGTTTTCCGATGTCAAAAGAAGTTTATGATTTGCATTTTGAACATCGGCAAAAAGACGGTGTGGAATCAAATCCATGTGAGCTCGTTCTGATTTTCCAGGCCATACCCAAATGAATCCGTATTGTTCATGAATTGGTCGCGTTCGAGCAGACACAAGTGAAGCCATATTTGAATCTTTCGATACAGATGGAATATGCACACATCGTCCATCGGCACCGTATTGCCATCCGTGATAGACACATTCGAGATTACCCGCTTTTGTTATTCGACCCAAACTTAGCGGAGCCGATCGATGTGGACATTGGTCAAGTACACATACGACCTGTCCGTCCTTGGTTCGATACAAACATAAGGATTCGTTGAGTAGATGAAAACCAAAAGGTCGCCTTTTATCACAGGTGATTTCATGTGAAAATGCTACAGGATACCAATACATTGAATGATCCAATGGATCAGGTTTAGATATCGGCGACAATGACGAAGATTGATAAGACTGAATTCGACGACGAGCACTATTCCGTTGTTGTACTCGACGATATTGCTGACGAATAAGCCATGAAAGGACGCCAACGAAAGTTGTTGACACAGAGAGAAACGAGGCGAGCATTTTGAGCAAGAAAAGAAAGAATAAAAATATTATTCGCACGTCGACGCATGTATCTGATAAGGACCATCATAATGTAAGAATGACTATGTAAAAGGGAGTACAAAGAGTGAATTGGGTGTGGGTGTGGGTGGGTGTGGGTGTGGGTGTGGGTGTGGGTGTGGGTGTGGGTGTAGG